ATGACACTACACTAGTTGTAAATATATGTACATCTTGAATACAGTAGCTCCCACTGATGTATGACACTACACTAGTTGTAAATATATGTACATCTTGAATACAGTAGCTCCCACTGATGTATGACACTGCACTAGTTGTAAATATATGTACATCTTGAATACAGTAGCTCCCACTGATGTATGACACTGCACTAGTTGTAAATATATATACATCTTGAATACAGTAGCTCCCACTGATGTATGACACTACACTAGTTGTAAATATATATACATCTTGAATACAGTGAACCATGACATTTATTATGATCTTTGTTCCTGATCCAGAGTTATTTGTTCACTACTTAGCCATTAATGATGAAAATGTTATTACAGTAACAGATGTAAAAAAAAAAGAGTAAAAACAACCACTTTACCTTATAAAGTCCAATTTTAATTCCTATGGCGTCACTGTTGGTCAAGCCATCCATTTGTGATTTAGCACCTTGTCTCTGCGAACACAAGGGAGGTAAAACACCTTGCGTTAAAAAGTGTCTGATGAAGGTTGTATACGAATCTCAGCTCTGCATTTCTAGTGTTACTCCATTATATCATAATAGCATTAGAGTTTCACCTAACTCTCAAGGCGTGGTCCACATACTGAATCTTATTGAGTAAACTTAAGAGTTTGTCTGTTATAACACTTAGAGTGAATTAGTGACTTAAACTCTGGGGTAAAATTAATAATTTTCTAAGTGAAATATATAGAAAATCTCCAGCAGTAATTAGTGAGATTATTTGCAATACTGAAAGTATCCTTATGTGACGTATCAGTTGTATAAGATCGTGTAAGGTAATGGATCTGATGTGACGTATCAGTTGTATAAGATCTTGTAAGGTAATGGATCTGATGTGACGTATCAGTTGTATAAGATAATGTAAAATAATGGACCTGATGGGACGTATCAGTTGTATAAGATCGTGTAAAGTAATGTCGACAGTATCTTTATGTGACGTATCAGTTGTATAAGATCGTGTAAAGTAATACCGACAGTATCATTATGTGACGTATCAGTTGTATAAGATCGTGTAAAGTAATGCCGACAGTATCTTTATGTGACGTATCAGTTGTATAAGATCGTGTAAAGTAATACCGACAGTATCATTATGTGACGTATCAGTTGTATAAGATCGTGTAAAGTAACACCGACAGTATCCTTATGTGACGTATCAGTTGTATAAGATCGTGTAAAGTAATACCGACAGTATCCTTATGTGACGTATCAGTTGTATAAGATCGTGTAAAGTAATACCGACAGTATCCTTATGTGAATTATCAATTGTATAAGATCGTGTAAAGTAATACCGACAGTATCCTTATGCTTACAGTACAATCACTTCATTCAGATATATACGTACATCAGTACGCTTACAGTACAATCACTTCATTCAGATATATACGTACATCAGTACGCTTACAGTACAATCACTTCATTCAGATATATACGTACATCAGTATGCTTACAATACAATCACTTCATTCAGATATAAATCAATACATCTACAGTACAAACGCGTTATCTAAAGATACATCCATACACTTACAGTACGAACACTTCATCCAGAGATACATCCGTACACTTTATCCAGAGATACATCAATACACTTACAGTACAAGCGCTTCATCATGAACCACGATAGTGGTTCATAATAGGGATCGCAAGAATTACACAAAACCCTAGTAGAACGTTTGGGCAAAAAAGCACTTTAAACAGTAAAAATTATTTTTAAACAACACTTAGAACAATTGCTATTGACTGCTAAGGCTGTACACATATAAAATTGCACAAAAAAGTACGCATATTAGACTTATAAAGAAAATAAAATCCACTCAAAACCGGCCCGTTTGTAATTCTTCTACTCTTGCTAGCCTACAAGAAAAACGGTTTGGTATATTGTACCCAAACCTTTTGTAGGATACTAAATACGTTACTGTGAAGGTCGTAGGGGTATCGTAAAGTAGATTTGTATATTTTACATAAGCTAAAAACATCCTAATTCTAGTGAAAACTATGTTATCATTACCCCTTGAAATTAGCTTCTTTACAATTAAGATAAATAAAAAATTTGGAATTTAAAAGCCTGCAAATAGGGATAGTAAAAAAAAAAAAGAGTAAAGAAATAAAGCTGGAGATACTCTAGACATTATTTACTAAAACTACGAATCTCTATTTTGGCTCCATGCTGTTACCTAAAATTACTAAGGCTTCTAACGCTAAAGATACTCGCGCTGGACGGAAAAACAAAATTCGCCACACTTACATTAGATGCTATAGAAATACTGTCTTCACTTCCACCAATGCTGGCCAGTGATTTTACTTTCCCGTCGTGAAACATGATTTCATCCCATCGGACTTTCCACCACAGACTGTTCAGTTCCGACTCCAGTTTTACTTTCCTGTGTTTGTCAGAACATTTTGATAATATCACTGAGGCTGGACTGGTTTGTTTTATTTTGAATTTCGCGCAAGGCGACACGAGGACTATCTGCGTTAACCGTCCCTAATTTAGCAGCGAAAGACTAGAGGGGAAATAGTTAGTCATCACCACCCACCGCCAACTTTTGGGCTACTCTTTTACCAACTATTTTGACCGTCACATTATAACGGCCCCACGGCTGAAAGGTCGAGCATGTTTGGTGGGACGGGAATTCGAACCCACGATCCTCAGGCTGCGAGACAAGCGCCCTAACCACCTGGCCATGCCGGGCCCAGCTGGACTGTGTCGTCTATTTGATAACTATAGATGACCATTATTTAGCTGGCTAATCGGAATTTAGAACGTAGTTGAGCACCACTAAGCCTAACATGAATGAAGGTGTAGCTCTTAAGCCTTATTAAAGAAACAACAACAAACTTTGTATCTAACAAGAAAAACAGATGGTTTCCAGACCTGTATAAAACTGTAGTAATCATTATTCAATGCAGTACCAAAATAGTTACATTTAAATGACTGATCCAGCTTGGAATAACTTCAATATTGAATTGAGACACTTGAATGGTACTACAGTACCTTCTTTGTCTAACCTCCTATAAACAAGGAGTAGTTTAGAACACACAAAAACCAGCGACGCAAAATCTATAGCCACTAACGCAATATGCTTCCTTTAACTTGTTAACAAATATTTAAGTTGAATAAAATCGAAGTGTTAAACGAATGTTTTTAAATGTGGAAAGCCTAAAAACGGCACACCAAAAGTAGTGTAAAATTACAAGTGTCATGGATAGGTTAGAAGCAGCACATCGACAGTAGTGTAAGATTACAAGTGTCGTGGATAGGTTAGAAGCAGCATACCGACAGTAGTGTAAGATTACAAGTGTCGTGGATAGGTTAGAAGCAGCACATCGACAGTAGTGTAACATTACAAGTGTCATGGATAGGTTAGAAGCAGCACATCAAAAGTAGTGTAACATTACAAGTGTCATGGATAGGTTAGAAGCAGCACACCAAAAGTAGTGTAAAATTACAAGTGTCATGGATAGGTTAGAAGCAGCACACCAAAAGTAGTGTAAAATTACAAGTGTCGTGGATAGGTTAGAAGCAGCACATCGACAGTAGTGTAAGATTACAAGCCTCGTGGAGAGGTAAAAACAGCACACCGACAGGAGTGTAAGATTTAAAAGTGTCGACATTATCGGAACTACTAAAGGTTTAAGAAATAATAGTAACATGAATTTTTCTAGATTGGTTAATAATAACGTCCGGAAGTGGCCAAGTGATCAGCGTGCCTGGTCTGTGAATCCAAAGATTTATGTTTCGCGACCTATTGCCGCCAAAACGTGCTTCGCATTATGGGGCCATAGCTGTGATATAAAAAGTGACGGAAAATCCCACTATTCGATCAGAGAAAAATAGCCCAGGAGTTGGTGATGTATGCTGTTGGTTAGATGTAAGACAAGAATAGCCCAGGTGATGTATGCTGTTGGTTAGATGTAAGACAAGAATAGCCCAGGTGATGTATGCTGTTGGTTAGATGTAAGACAAGAATAGCCCAGGTTATGTAT